CCCCAAAACCCCAAAACCCCAAAAGTATGAATTTCAAAAATTTTTGAAATAAAACAAAAAACATTAAGTAAATATTAATAAAAATAAGATTATAATCAAGTATTGTTTTTACCTATATATTTTAATTCAAGGTAGTCAATTATTTCAGGGTCAATTTAAAAAGCTTATAATTTATTCCCTGAAGAGCCCCATCCAACTAACTTGAAATTGCCTTAATCTTTTTCTGTTTATTACTTCTTATCAACTTCAATTATTCCATGATTAAAACTTAGCGAATTGTAATAAGATTGATATATTTTGTATTATCTATTCTAATCCTAATAATCGCATAAATAAATTTCTGACCCATGAACAATTAACCAGTAAAACCTATCTGAATCCTTATCAATAAATATTTAGCAAGCATCAACATAAGTGCTATTGTTTTTGTTAAACTAGAACATATACTAATATTTGCTCCTGACAGAAAAAATGGTTAGATTATATTTCTATTAGCATAAGATGTAATCATCATTGATACGCTTGGTGTACTTAATATCTAAAAGTTATTTAGCGTGATACTAAGGTCCTTATTTACTGTTTACTTTGCAGCTTTTATTCTTTAGATCAAAATCATAGATATAAAAGTTTGCATAACTCTAGGATTCATGATTTCCAATTACTGTTAACTCCCATTTTTAAGTTTTGTTAACAAAATTTGTGTGTATTTAATCGACTCTGCCGCTGTTAAAATAATGGCAAGACCAAATCTTTGTGAAAATTTTGCTTTCTTTATTATAGCTTACTAGAACTATTCTATTATCTTTAGATGAATAGTATCCTTATATATTAAATCCTATTACTAAATGACAAGGTTAAACTAATCCTATCTAGGCTATAGGATAATTGCTTTCAGGAAAGGTGCATTAGTACTAAATCTATTTTGTCTCATGCTTAATCTCAAAAACCAATAGCTGCTCATCGAAATTGATTATAAATATTAGTCCTAGCTCTTGAGAAAATTATATACTACTAATAGCATGCTTATTATCTTTAAATTCGTGATATAACTAAATCTTGTTTTCAGCTGCATCAATTATCACTAATTTTTAAAAGGAATAGGCTAAATACAAAGTTTTAATGTACTCATCCTGGACCTTACTAGTACATCCATCAAATACCCAATCAGATATAGGAATATCATTTATTACTTAACAGTATTAATTTGATATGTCAGTAGTCTCAACTATGTATTCCATACTTAATTCATTGCATTAATTCTTTTTTATTTATTACTTTTCTAAATCTAAAAAGGTGATTTTCTTTTCATATTTCTTTGTGAAAATTGAACTAAATTTAGAAAGTATCTTGTCCTGCTACTTCTCATTTTGAAACATAAACTGGGTCATACATAAATAATTCTTAAATTGAAGCGCATTCATAATGACGTCTGCCCTGTAATGCAAGATGTTTGCTTAGAATACTGCAGTAATCACAGATTGATCACAATCTGTGTCAAATTTCTATTCATATTTTGTTTATCTGTAATGGGCATACATTAGCTTTTGCTTATCATAAGAAAAATTAAATATTCCTTAGTTGTCCAAAGTGTTTTCATCATTTTTAGTCAGTTTTAGACAATCAGCAAAGATGAATATATCAACTGATTTTTTCACTCCATTTTTCTTAATTTCCTCATAAAGGGAAATCGTTCTTCCATCTGCAAGAATTACCATTTATTTTTCTTCTTATAGCTCCTTGGAATCATCATCAATAAAATATCCTGAAAAGTATACATATAATTAACCAAGATTTATCATATCTTTGATTTTGTCAATTTCTTTAAGATAGTCAGAATACTTAATATTTTCTAGCACAACTACATCAAAATCATATCTTTTAAGAGCATTTTTCATTCTTCTCACATCAATCAAACATTTACTCATATTTTACTACTTTTAATCTTGGCTAATATCATCTCTACCTTTGAAATATGAACAATAGTCACTGATACCAATCAGAAGTGCTAGCTTAGTGGTGTCAAAATTGATTTGCATAACTAATATGGAAATTAAGTTTTTAATATTATTTTATTTAATTCATTTTATATTTTATTGAACCACTCTTAACATAGTTTATAAAAGAACTTGGGGTTTTGGGGTTTTGGGG